ACTGCCCCTGTTTCTCTCCAGAAATAGTCTCACGTTCTTATGTCAGATGCTCTCCTGTGGAAAAGACACAGCCATCAGCAGGCATTTTTGCATGAGGAGAGGCCCTCTTGTCTAATCCTTGGATCTCTCTGTGGGGGGAGGGAGGGTTCTATCTGCCTGTCTTAGGTGCCTAGAGAAGGATGGGTCAATGGGTCGAAGTTCTGTCCCTTCTCTTTGTCATCACGACCTCCGAAGGCAAGAAGGCAGATGATTGGCTGGGGGTGGGACTGGAGTGGTTCCTCCTGGGCTGCGTCCTCTGCAGGGGGGCTGAAGTATCCCTGTTGCGCACCCAGGGCTCTGTCAATAGGCGGATGTGAAGGTACAGACAAGACGTGTGTGTGTGTGTGTGTGTGTGTGTGTGTGTGTGTGTGTGTGTGTGTGTTGGGGGGGGCGTCTGAAACACTTCCATCTCTCCACATCGTGAGGGAGCAGACACTAGTGACACTAGTGGTTTGTGCCTCCAGGGAAGAAAGGAGCGCATTGAGACCGTGGGTTTTTGTTCCTGGGGTGTAGGTGGGTGCTGAGATGAGAATTGCCCCAGCCTAAGAATCTTAGCAGCGGTGCTGACCTGAGGGCAGCTGCCAAGCCTGGCCACTACCCAGCCACTTTGACTTTGAGTCATGTAACTTTGGCAGGAAGTTTTCATTGTTTTCTTTTAGGGCACCTAGCAGTGCTCATGGTTTACACCTGGCTTTGTACTCTAAGGGATAACTCCTTAAGGACTGGGGAGACCATATGTAATGTGAGGGATCAGACCCCAATTGACTGCATGCAGGGCAAGCGCCTTCCCCACTATACTGTCGTTCCAGCCCAATGGCAAGAAGTTTTGTAGTAAAATTCTTGATGGCATGTAGGGATTATCCGAGGTACTAAGGGTAGCCTACAGGAGCATCTAACCATGTACTCATTCCCACACCCACCAACGCGCCCACTCTCAAGGCCTCAGGCTGAAATTGAATTCTTTGTTAAGACAAGACCTGACCAGCAGCTGTCAGCTGGATATTTCTCCTGTCAAAGTACACAGAAATGTTCATACAGTTTTCCAAAACGGCTAGACCAGTCAGCATTGCAACCAGCAACGAACGAGAGTCCCTTTCTCCCCATATCCACACCAACACTGGTTGTTCTTGTTGTTTTTGATGGGTGCAAGTCTCTGTAGTGTGCAATGATATCTCATTGTTGTTTTAATTTGCATCTCCCTGATGAATAGTGATATAAAGTACTTTTTCATGTGCCTTTTGTCCATTTGCATTTATTCTTTGAGGAAGTTTCTGTTCATCTCTCTGCCCATTTTTTAATGGGTTTGGATTTTTTTTTCTTGTACAGTTGTAGAGTCACCTTATGTATCTTGGATATTAATCCCTTATTGGATGAGTGTTGGGCAAATAATTTTTCCCATTCTGTGGGCTGTCTTTATATTCTGGTCATTGTTTCCTTTGAGATGCAGAAGCTTCTTAGTTTTTTGGTTTTTTTTTTAAACCTGAATTCTTTTTTTTTATTATTTAATTTTTATTAGTGAAACACCATGAGGTACAGTTGTAGACTTACAAATTTTTATGCTTGGGTTTCAAGTATACAATGATCAAATACCCATCCCACCACCAGTGCCCATTTTCCACCACCACGGGTCCCAGTATCCCTCCCACCCCAAAACCCCCCACCCCACCCTGCCTCTGTGGCAGGGCATTCCCTTTTGTTCTCTCTCTCCTTTTGGGTGTTGTGGTTTGCAAAAGAGGCATTGGGTGGCAATTCCATTTGTTTATCTTTACATCCACTATCTTGGTCAGTGGTGTTTCATCCTGGAGGATGCCTTTAGCTACAGTGTCATGGAGAGTTCTGCCTTTGTTTTTCTTTATTATTACAGATTCAGGAAATAACCCAAGTGCCTAAGAACAGATGAGTGGATAAAGAAACTATGTTACATTACATTTACACAATGGAATACTATGCAGCTATTAGGAAAAATGAAGTCATGAAATTTGTTTATACATGCATGGACCTGGAGAGTATCATTTGTGTGAAATGAATCAGAGGGATAGGGACAGACACAGAATGATTACACTCATTTGCAGGATATGAAAAAAAAAACCCATACTATGAGAATAATACCCAAAGACAATAGAAACGAGGGGCAGGACTGGTCCATGGTAGGAAGCTTTCCACAAAGTGAGGGCGCAGGGTGTGTATGGGGGACACATGAAACTGAGGGTAGGACAAAGAAGGGACCACTAAGATCAAATAATTGGCAATGATCACTCTGGACAAGAGCTGAGTGCTTAAAGGAGGAACAGTGATATGCATCATACCCTTCCAGTAACAGTATTGCCAGCCACAGTGCCTAAGTGCTGAGGGGGAGTGGGGGAGGGAGGGGGGAGGGAGGGAGGAGGGAGGGAGGGAGGGCAGGAGGGCAGGAGGGAGGAGAGAGAGCAAGGAGAGAGAGGTGTCTGTTATAGAGGCAGGCTGGAGTTGCCGGAGGGAAACTGGGTACATTGGTGGTGGGAAACATACACGGATGAAGGAATGGGTGTTGGAACAGTGTATGACTGAAACTCAATCATGAACAACTTTGTAACTGAGTATCTCATAGCAATCCATTCTGTGTGTGCACACCAATTTTTCTTTTTTAAAGCACACAGAGAAAATGGTAGTATTTGGAAGTGGTCACAGAGACAGACCAGCCATCTTAGGTCCCGTGTGTGGGGTCCCCTGGGGTGGCCTGACACTGACACTGGTTGGCATGTGGCTCTTTGGAACCCTGCCAGCCACTTGAGTGTGTTTGAGGGCCAGCCCAGGCCTCTGTGTGTGCTAATCCCCTCTCTGGGGCGCTGGCTCTTCCCTCATGTGGCAGGGCCACCCTGAGCCCTGCTTCCACTCTGCTCTGGTTTGGGGGACTAGATCACACCCTCGTCGTGTCTGTGTTGTGACTCATCTAGCTACATATTTCTCCCCACCCTGCTCCTTGCCAGGCCAGGGATCAAACCCAAGAGCTTGCTCTGCAGGGCATATGCTATACCACTGACCCACAGCCAGCTCCTCTCTCTGTTTCCTATTGCTCTTTCCCATTTTTTTTTCTTTTTGGGTCACACCCAGCAATGCACAGGGGTTACTTCTGGCTCTGCATTCAGGAATTAACTCCTGGCAGTGCTCAGGGGACCATGTGGGATGCTGGGAATTGAACCCGGGTCGCCCGCATATAAGGCAAATGCCCTACCCGCTGTGGTATTGCTCCAGCCCCCATGTTGCCCTTTCTCTTAACCTCTCTGTAAGATCTTTTTTTCCCCTACTTGTGTCCCAGTGCCCGGCATTGAGCTTGTTGCTTAGGAAATTTTCAATAGAAGTTTAATGTGAACACGATGTGGTGCCTTTGAAACAGTTCTTGAAAGACAAGATTTTTAGCAAGCAGAGAAATGTCAGAACATTCAAGAGAAAAAAAAGAAATGAGAGTTAATCCAAGAACAACCATGATTTATTCCCTCTGTGCCCTCAGTTTATACCAACATACCTATTAAACTTGATTTTTCTATCTGCAAAATGAGGGTTCTAACCGGGTTTGTTGTGAGGACTCAAGAGAATGTTTATAAATGCCTCAGCATCCCTTTGTTCACTAGACACCATGATAAAATAACCACTGGGCTTGCTGCCATATTATGCAGCTTTTGGTTGTTCACTGCCGGTGAGGTTTGAGGTTTGCAGTGAAGCTTCAAGGAGCGCCACTATTCCGACTGTTCGTACCCTCTTTGTTTCTGGCCCTGATTTTTTCCTCAGGGGGTGGAATACTCATGCTTTTGTCTGCTCCTGTGAATTATAGAATAATTGTCATACTGAGTTTCATATTCCACATTCTCCCTCACGAGATCTGTGCAGCCTGCAGAGGAGAGAGGGGGCCCCTGAGCCCTCCCAGCTGCCGCACTGCTTTGGGTCTCCCCAACAGCTCCCTGAGTTACACAGAGGTCCCTGATCAGAACTTGCTCACTAGTCAACCTAGTGAACACTGAAAGAATCCTGTAGAAGAGCAAAGCCTTTGTCTGGTGCAGTTAACTCCTTGCATGGCTTAAATATGACTGTGACTAAAATTGAAGTTCTAGTTTTCTTTCTTCCTTCCTTCTTTCTTTCTTTCTTTCTTTCTTTCTTTCTTTCGTCTTTCTTTCCTTCTTTCTTTCTTTCTTTCTTTCTTTCTTTTGTTCTTCCTTCCTTTCTTCTTTTCTTTCTTCTTTTTAGGTCATACCTGATGATGCTCAGGGGTTACTCCAGGCTCAAAACCGAGGAATTATGCTGGCTGTACACAAGGGACCATATGGGATGCCAGGAATTAAACCTGGGTTAGCAGTATACAAGGCAAAAGCCTCGCCTGCTATACCATCACCCTGGCCCATCTTTCTTTCTTTTTTAAAGAACTGTCAGAGTCTTCACAGTTACCAAAACCATGCGTAAATGACTAGGGAGTGGAGATGGGTTTTTGAGCTACACCAACTATGCTCAGGGCTTATTCCTGGCAGTGCATGAGGGACCCTGTGGAGTTCCAGGGATCAAACCAGATCAGCCACATACTTGGCAGAACCCCTCTATTATCTCTCCAGCCCCCTGAAGTTTTCTTAAAACAAAACAAAAAAGGTATATACTTGGGAGCTGCCTCTTCCCTTGGCTTATGACATTATGAACAAGAGCAGAATAGCTGTGGCTGCAGATCCCTGGCTTGAACACGTGTTTAATACCATGGCAGCCCGTGAGCTTGGTAGTGTTACTGCATTTGGCAAAGGGCCGGAGAACTTGGGAAATGAGGCTGAAGCCCAGAGCCCCTGCTCCCAGAGGTGTCAGCTGGAGCTCCTTTCATGTCAGTCAGGCTCTTGGCAGATCTGATTTGTTAGTCTCCCTACCTGTTGGGGTGCTGGGCATGGCCTCACCTGCTCTCTCAGTGAAGTTGCGCCGGTGGTTCATTACTTCTCTCTTCTTCCTCTCCTTAGCTATGGGGTGCTGCTTTGGGAGCTACTCACTGGGGAGGTGCCCTTCCGAGGAATCGATGGCTTAGCAGTGGCTTATGGAGTGGCCATGAACAAACTGGCCCTTCCCATCCCTTCTACCTGCCCAGAACCTTTTGCCAAACTCATGGAAGGTAAGTGGCCCCCGGCCTGAAGCAAAGTAAAGACCGTTTACTGACCTACCAGCTCTTAGTCTATTTGGGGCAGTTGTGCAGAACCAGCTACTAAAAGAGAAGATCAGGTTATTGGTCACCCCACGGGGAACGCCTGTGAGCACTGAAAGAGCCTCCTCCAGGTGCCTCTTCATCCTGCCACACTGATATCTCAGAAAGGTCCCCTCTGTCCACCCACACCAAGGCTGTAGAGCTGAGTCAGTAAAGTCTACTGCCCAGTTTTCCCAAATACTGTTTTCTAGTATGAAACAAGAAAGTAGAGCATCTTCTATTTCCAATGTCTCAGTGCATTGCACATGGAAATGAAGGAAATCGGTAAAGAATGCAGTGCCAAAAGGTACCTGATCCACTTTTGCAAATGAGAACCCCAAAGCCCCTAGGGGTAGCCACTTCATTTAGTTAGTGACTGAGCAGAGAGGAGAAAGAACTCACTTCTCTCAGCTCTCTCTCCAGTCCCCTTTCTCTTTGCCTTCCAGTCAGCCTTTAGGGGTGGTGGCTGCAGTCACTCCCTTATTGATCCAAATCAATAAACCTGAGGTGCAGTTGCTTATTGCCAGAACTATGTCCTGCAGTCGCTAGGACATTGTGAATTGCCCCTGTCCCAAGGATTTTCTTTCTTTTTCTTTTTTTTTGTATTATTGTTGGGAGCCACACCTGGCTGTGCTTGGGGGCTACTCCCAGCTTGCAACTTGGGGGTTGCCCCGGGCCTTGCTCACGGGACCACGTATGGTGGTGGGGATGGACCCCAGGCTTTCTGCATGCCGAACATGAGCTCCAGCCCTTTGAGCTGTCTGCCCTGGCCTGGACTTGCTTTGTTTGTGCTGAATCAATAGTCAGGATTGGCTGGATGAAAGTAGATCCTCTGCTTTCCATTTCTAGTTCCACTCTTTCGGTGGCAGCTTGCTTGACTTCCCAAGTCCCGTTTGAGGTGACCTAAATCCCAATCTGTTTCATAAAGGAGAAAAGGAAAGATTTCTTATGGTTTGAGAGGTCCCATGGTCGCCTGCATGCTGCGTTTGCATCTGACCGTTCATTCTCTCTGCTCACATGTTCCACACAGATTGCTGGAATCCTGACCCCCATTCCCGACCATCCTTCACGAATATCCTAGACCAGCTCACTACCATTGAGGAGTCTGGTTTTTTTGAAATGCCCAAGGATTCCTTCCACTGCCTGCAGGATGATTGGAAACATGAGATTCAGGAGATGTTTGACCAGCTCAGGGCCAAGGAAAAGGTAAGAAGAGACTAGGATAAGGCCCTTGTTGAACCAGAGGGCCTTTCCCCACTCCGGCCCCTGGGCTGATTCCCACATGAGTTTCTCCCTGCGTGGTTTGCTCTGTGAGGCACTTCCCTTGACTGTGTCCCCCTCTCATTCAGAGGTGGGATCTCCATGTCTCGCGTGTGTTGTACAGTGGGACCTGCTTGACTTCCTTTGAGGATGTGGCAAGAGAAAGGAGGAGGAGCCTTGGGGACCTGTCTCTTCTCCCAGGGCCCCTGCCTTAGCATTCACAGAAGAGGGCCAGTGGGGCAGTCACAGCAGCAGCTGCCCAGCCCTGCCCACTGAAAAAATGAGAAGGTTCTAGAAAAGAGAAAAGGTTCCGGGGTGGGTTGGCACCTGGTAGAGGGATCCTTCAACCTGGAGAACAAGTATCAGAATACCCTATTTGTGTCTGTTCGTAAAAGAATCAGAAATAGCATTTGAGCTAGAAATAACCTCAGGTTTGAAATGGTGGGCAGTTGGGGGGAGGGACGTTTTTCATGTTTTTTTGTGAGGACTCTAACCCTCAACCAGTGAGAGAGTTCAGAGATTCTTCGCCCATTAGGTATCTGCTTTTTTTTTTTTTTTTTTTTGTCTTGGTAGCCCTTCTCTCTGGACACCCTGGTGTCTGGATGATGGCCAGTGTCCGAGTGAGGAGGCCAATCAGAGACAGGAGTGTCGCTCATCCTATAAGGGTGGGGCAGGGACTGGGGCTATAACTGGGACCATGACTCAGTTTCTCTTCTTCCCTGCTCCCCACCATAGGAGTGTGGGACACAGCAGGTTGATACTTAGAGCTAAAGTTGGGTAGAGAGATAGCTCAAAGGGCTGGAGCAGGTACAGGGTCCTGGGTTCATTTCTCTAGCATCACTCAGCTTCCTGATCATTGCCAGGTGTGACCCTGGTGACCCCCACTATCCAGCAGCACTGGAGAGGTACTCAGCCCCCACAAAATGAACTTAGTAGCCAAATTATATATGTCTTTATGACTTCAAAGCTCTTTCCTTTGCAAGAGCTGATAAAGGGGCAAAAGAGGTAGTACAGTGCTTAGGGCGCAAGCCTTGCACGCAGGTGATCCAGGCTCCATCTCTGGCACCACATACGGTCCCCTGAGCACCTCCAGATGTATCCCCATCTCCTAAGAAAAATAAAACAATGGAGACCTTGATGTTATGGTGATTAGCATAGCTGCCTTCCCCCCAAATAAGGATCTGATGTGATCTTTTCATCCAGGTTTTCATTCCTAAGGTCTTAGAGTACTGGCACTAACATCTAAAGTGGATGTTGGGTTTTTTTTTTTATCTCAAAACTCATATACATGAAGAAGTAGAATCATAAGCCTAAGTCATTTAATTAGAATCATCTTCTTTTCAGTGTATTACTATTTCTCAAAACAAAAAACTTAAAAAAATAAATAAATTATTTCTGGAGCTAATTTTAAGGTATTAAACTTCTTCATGCAACACCACAGTTCTGCAAGCTACCGAGAGTATCTCGCCCACACCACAAAGCCTAGCAAGCTACCCGTGAGGTATTCAATATGCCAAATACAGTAACAACAAATCTCACATTGGAGACATTACTGGGCCGGCTCGAGCAAATCGATGAACAACAGGAGGACAGTGCAGTGCAGTGCTACCACAGTTCTAAACACAGCATTTTCCATCAAGTCACTAAGCACTGTGCTGGGGTGAGACTGAATTTATGTGAAATCCAGGGAACCTCAGAAGGAGCAAGGGGTGAATCTATACTGACCACTAAATGGAAGGAGAAAAAGATGATTTCTATGACGAATGCTTTCTTTGCCTTCTGGTTTGAGGGTCACATCTGGAAGTATAGCCCAAGGGGGCTGTACCGGGCTCTGTGCTTGGAGTTGTTTGCAGTGGTGCTCAGGAGACCGTCCCGTGAAGGGATTGAACCTACTCCTCCTGCATGCTGAGCTGTTGGGCTTCATCCCTGGTTCTCTAGGATTAATGATGCGCCAAAGAGAGGAGACCTTCTATTTGGTTTTTGTTTTGGGGGCCACACCCAGTGGCACTCAGGGGCCGTTCTTGGTGATTCATAGAGACTCTGGGTACTAGCAATTCAGTCTGGGACTCCTGTATGTAAAGCAGGTGCTCCCGCCCTCTGAGCTCTCTCCCCGTACATTAATCTCTTGGTAGATCGCTAAGTCTCTGGCTCTTCCTTATGATGAAATTAAAAAGTACAAGTCAGGAAGAAAAATCAAAGATGGGTTTTGTCAGTAGGTAGTTACCAGGAAAAGTCAAACTCGTTCTCACAGTACTTGATATTTGTAGCACATGTATTATGCGTTATGCCATTTTAAAGCCATGCATATTCTTACATAATCTTGATGTCGGTTACTAGTTATCCGATATAACACAAGCCTGTGATGTCAGTACAGTTCACCACATTTTGTATCTGATTCCCCTAATAAGTTGCCTAGAGGCTACTGTTCAGCCATTTGTTCCAAAGTCCTTGCTATGCTGTGCTGCCTCTCTATTAAAACTCGGGTAGTTGGGCTCAGTAAGGGAGAGTGCGATGGAAAAAGAACTTTCTCTGTGGAGATTCCTCTTAAATCACTGAATGTGGAAGATATGGTTTGTCTACTGTGAAGTCGATCCCCAGATAAGTGTTTCACAGAAGGAGACTGACTCTGTTGGGGGTCCTCCAACAACTCGATGCTGTAGGGCAGCCCTCTTCAGACTCCAAGACTCAGCTCACTCCTCAGCGGTCTTCATTCTGCTGTTTGTAGGTCCTGTGAGCATGGATTGGTGACTGGATTGCTGTTTGAGTACCTGAAATGAAGGGACGTCAACCCAAGTCTTCCATGAGATGAAGGGCAGGCAGGGCAGGAGGGTTCTGAAAAGCTAACAGTAACTTCAGCCCTTGTGCCTTTGATGTTTAGCACTTCAATGGACCAAACAAGGGTATTCTTGCTTGTTCTTCCATGTTTGTTGCTTTTGTTTTTCTTCTGATGGAAAAAGAAAAAAAAAAAACCAACAAAGTAGTAGGTAGGTAGGACAAGGGAACCAAAGATTTGAGTTATATACAACAATGAATCTTGGGGGCTTTATTTCGCCATAGAAGTTCACAAGTTCAAGCTCGTCTCAGACACTTGACGTGCATCTGTGCTCCCATAAAGAACTGCGTTTATGAAAGTGTCTTCTATCTACTCCTTACTTTGCATTCATGTATTCACTGACTCAACAGTTACTCAATAACTTCTGAGCATCTGCCACAGACCAGACAGTTTTCAAGGTGCTAATCCTCCCTCGTTTCTCTCCTTCTCTATCACTTTGGTGACTATTTTGATAGTCTCCTGGGATCGGGGGTGGGGGGAGAACAAGTTGAATGAAAATTTCTAAACATCAGATTTTTATTCCCATCTTGTCTCTGTTCTCTCTCTCCCTGCCACTCAGCTTCTCCCAGGCTGTTTCTAGCTCTAGATTTCCTCTCCACAGTAATTGGTCCTAGTCCAGAATGACATCTTATGAGGGATCATCTCATGGCTGCATTTAAAGTTTCAACCACAAAAGCATTGCTCTGGCTGTTTGTCAAAGAACCTCCCCCCACCCATTTTCAGACAAGATTCTCTCAGGTTGATGACATAAAAGCTTCTTAAATTTTATTTCCTCCACCTGCCACCCTCTTTTCATCCCAGACCTGGGATAACCAGAGTTAACAGTTTAGATTCCAGATTTTCCCATTGGAGTCACATGCTTTGTCCTCTTGGCTGTTTTTTCTCTTCTGTTTCCTAATTATGTATCCTCCAGCCTGGTGAAGGGGACTCAGTACTGGATTTGTTTACAAGTTCATGCAAGAGGAAAAGCATCCTCATGCAGGCAAGAGGTTCTGCCCTCATGCAGGACAGAAGGGAGCAATCTGGTGAGGATAAGGGTTCCAGATGGCACATTATCCCAGTTCTACCCCTCCAGCCTTCTGGCTCCAACTCTCCTGTGGACCAGTGTCACCGCTGCCCTTGAGCTGCTCCAGAGACGTGTCCTGCTCTGAGGTTCATCCTTCCTTTTCATTGAACAGTTCCAAGGGTGTGTGATACAGCAGCAGCAAGTTTGGTTCCAGGGTGAGCACTTGGCAAAGCCTGCAGGAAATGTTCCCTGTCCTCTTTGCCGTGTGGTCACAAGCCTTCCCTGGCAAAGACTTGTCCTTTGCCGTCAGATGAGAGTTCAAACCTCTTGCCTTGGTAGATTCACTCACTCTGTAAACACATCGAGGCCTCATACCTCACCTGCCTTCTCAGTAGCCACCCTGGAAATCTATTTATGCCTGTTTAAATGTTAAGTTATGCCTGAAGCATGATTCATTTATAGCAGACATGCTTGAAGGTAGATCACATTTTGTTGGCTCTGTTTTGCTTGGTTTTTTTAATCCTTTATGAGGTGGGGTGGAATATAATCAAGCCGGTGGTGTAAAATTCAAATGCCTGCTTGTGTCTTCTGCCCAAGCCCTCATTTCCCCATAGTCATGGGCAGGTTCATTTGTTTATTTGGAAGTTGGGAGGCCTCCCAAGCAGTTGTTCAGGAGACCTGGAGTGGGGTGGGGGTTGGGGGGGCGGCATTGGTAGCTGAGCCAACCTGATCAGCAGTTCAATGCAAGACTTGAGAATGCGGCGCTTCTCTGGCCTCGTGGATGCTGGCATTTCCTAGGCAGCCCTGGCAGTGTTGGAGGTCTACAAGGCCATACTTGGCAATGCTCAGAGTGGGAGGGTGGGGCATGTAGCCAAGTCAAGCTCAGGCAAGGTCCCTCAAAAGCAATTTTCACCGGTCCTGAAGGAACATCTGGGTTCCCCTTGTCTCTGGCACTTGGCCTTTAGCCTTAGTTACTCTCGTGATGTCCTCAGGTGGCTGTTGTGAGTTTTCCTTTCACCATGCATGGGAGTCAGATGGTGATTTACCAGCTAACTAGTGAGCCCCCTTGAGATGTGGAGGAGCTCCCAAATCTCATCCCCCATACTCCCATGTACTGAGCACCCCACTCCTCCCTGGGCACCCCACTCTCCTCTCTGAGCTCCCCACTCTCCCCCCTGAGCTCCCTATTCTCATCTCGGGCCGTGCTGCCCACCACATAGGAGCTTCGCACGTGGGAGGAGGAGCTGACCCGGGCCGCGCTGCAGCAGAAGAACCAGGAGGAACTGCTGCGGCGGCGGGAGCAGGAGCTGGCCGAACGGGAGATCGACATCCTGGAGCGGGAGCTCAACATCATCATCCACCAGCTGTGCCAGGAGAAGCCGCGGGTGAAGAAGCGCAAGGGCAAGTTCCGCAAGAGCCGGCTGAAGCTCAAGGACGGAAACCGCATCAGCCTCCCTTCTGGTCAGTGGCCAGGCCCCCGGGGAGCTGGGAGCTGGTCGGCCGCTAGCGTGTGCTGAGGGATCAGTGGGAGCAAGGGACTGAGCATGGCCACGTGAGACCCCGGCTCCCAAACTCGAGCGAGATCCAAGTGGGCCAGCCTCTTCCTTGGAAAGCCTAGTCTGTTGGAATGAGACCCCCGCTTGAGATTTGTCTGTTTGGGGACCACCCTGGGCAGTTCGTAGAGCTCCTTTGTGCCCAGCCCTTTGAGATCAGGTGGAAGGAGACGCTGAATGTGACTAAACACAGAATAGGAAGTGGCAGGGCTGGAGAGATTGTAGAGTGGCTAGGACTCTTGGCCTGCATGTGGCCGACCCGGGTTCAATCCCCAGCAACACATATAGTCACCTGAGCCCCGCCAGGAGTGAACCCCTATATACAGAGCCAGGAATAATCCCCGAACACTGCCAGGTTTGGTCCAAACCTTCCCAGCCCCAAGAATAGAAATGATGTCAGAAGAGAGACTGATGGACCCAGGCAGCAGGGCCTGCATGAATGGTGCTTGCTCATATAGGCACCAGTCACGTCTCATTTGAAGCAGAACTGGAGGAGACGAAATTGCCCAGTGTGTATGTGTGAGACAAGAGAACTCGTGCCTCTATCAAATAATTCATTCCAAATGTCTATTTTTTTTGTTGTCTTTTTTTTTTTTTTTTTTTTTTTGCTTTTTGGGTCACACCTGGCGATGCACAGGGGTTACTCCTGGCTCAGCACTTAGGAATTACTCCTGGTGGTGCTCAGGGGACTATAAGAGATACTGGGAATCGAACCTGGGTCGGCTGTGTGCAAGGTGAACGCCCTACCCGCTGTACTTTCACTCCAGCCCCTCATTCCGGATGTCTTTAGAGAGTTAGATTTCACTAGCATTGTTGAGAGTAAGATCAAGGTATACTCATTTTATTAACATACCACATTTCAAAAACACAACAGCCCAACAAAGGTACTTTTTTAATGGCATGCATAGGCTAGGGAAAGTGCAAGAGAAATGTGAAACTATGAATTAGAGTCTTGATGGTGTGTAATGTACCCAGGAAGAGAATTGAGTACTCAAGTGTGTCTTTAAGATGGAAAAAAAATTGTTTTTTCATTGTATTCTGAAGCTAATTAAAAGTTAAAGGAACCAAAGGGAAAAGGCCCAGCATGAGTAGCACTGGATGGTTTTAAGCACTGGGAACTTGTTCAGTGACATTCCATGAATGTGTTCCTGGGACATGTTTACCATTACACGTTTCTTTCTTTGCCAGCAACACAGTCCTTAAGCCCTCTGGAGCTGCTAGCCTGTGCCAGTGTATTGCTGACTAGGAGAGAGCACAAAGGAAGGGGAGAGTGTCCCCGCCCTGGGGTTTTTTCACCAGAAGTTGAGGACTAGGTACAATCAAAGGGCTGTTTTGTATATCTCGCTGGTAGATGAGAAACTCAGAGCTGTGTGTTTTATATTCCTTATGGATGGCTGCCCATGACATGCGTTGGTCTTGGGGTCCCCCGCTTTCCTAGGTTTCCTAGGTCCCCTTAGTTCTTGTTACCCTTTTCTGCCTGCACTTAGTGAGAAGCATCCCTCAGTCTTCCTGCTTTGGTCCCTGAGAAAAGGGTCATGTACTAATGGATTGTAGAAAAACAAAGAATTTGAGAGGCTGTAGAGATAGTACTGTAGGTAGAGTACTTGCCTTGCATGCTGCCAACCTGGGTTTGATCCTGGACATCCCTTGTGGTGTCTTGAGGACCACCAGGAACGATCCCTGAGTGCAATCAGGAGTAAACTCTGAGCATCACTGGGTATGACCCAGAAACAAATGTGTGAATGAAGAGAGGAAAGGAGGGAAGGGGAATGGAAGAGAGGGGAGGGGAGGGGAGGGGAGGGGGAAAGAAGTTTTAGTTGTATATCATAGAATGATTAGCAAGGTCTCATGATTCTGTTATATGTGTGATCTTTTTATTTTTGTATTTTTTACTTTTTGGTTTTTGGGCAAAGCTCAAGGGTTACTACTGGCTCTGCACTCAAGAATTATTCTTGTCTGTGCTTGGAGAACCATATGGGATACTGGGAATCAAACCCAGGTCGGCCTCATGCAAGGCAGATGCCCTCTACCTGCTCTACTATCGCTCCGGACCTCTACATATGAACTTGTTCTAAACTATTCTTAATGATACAATCTCTAAGCGTATCTACGTTTTATAGGCAGCTCCATGCTGTCGAATATGGCCCACGCTCATAATGAATTTTCCTTCTCCACATTCATCTTGCTATGCATCTTTTGCAAAAGACATCTCAGAAACAGAACTTTTCCTGCAACTGCCAGAAACAGCTGCTGTGTTTTGGGGGTCTGCCTCTTAGTCCTGCCTGGAAATGTGCATTGAGTTGAATGGGAGGGAGGGAAATTCTAATACATGCACCTGGTTTGTCTTTCCCAAGCAGATTTCCAGCACAAGTTCACCGTGCAGGCCTCCCCCACCATGGATAAAAGGAAGAGTCTCATCAGCAGCCGCGCCAGCCCTCCTGCAAGCCCCACCATCATCCCTCGCCTTCGAGCCATCCAGTGTGAGACTGTTTCCCAAATTACGGGGCCAGAACACACCAGGGGCACCTGTTCCCTGCTCTGTCCAGCCACCGATGGTCCGGGCTTGCTCCATCCATAACTTCTGCCACCTCTCCTCGACAATGTGTCTATCCATGCGCATATGTACGCAAACCCTCAGCCCTCCCCTTGTCTCTCTCCATGAACGTTACCGCGGCCTTCTCGACCCTTGACTGTCAGTCGCATACCAGCCAAGGGGGTTGTGGGTGCGGACAGGAGCTTCAGGCAATCCCAGAGCATTTTGGGAACTGGTGTGTGGTAAGGGTACAGGCTGGTACCCTGACCTGGAAGCCTGGGGAACTCCCCAGTGTTTGGGCCATCTTTTGTTTCTCTTTGGTTCATGCTCCCAAAAAGGGTTTTCTCAAAATTTAGGTCCTCAGTAAACTTGCCAGATAAAAGTTTAGGAAAGGCTAACCCTGGACCTATTTTATTTTAACCACGGTGTCCACATAAAGGAACTTATATATACACACACCACAAATATGTACATATGTGCATGTATATGTACATGTGTATGTGTGTGAAAAAATAATTTCCCTAATTTAAAGAGAGACTTTTGTCTTAAAACAGCAACCATAAAACAACTGAATTTCTGACTTTCCTGGAAAAGTTAGTTCCCCTCAGTGAATTTCCATTCTCACGTGGCCTCCAAATGACTGGCTTTGAGGGCAGGCTGCTCCGCCCTGTTCCATAGCGTGCCTCGGGGCCCTCAGTCCCAACTTCTGGGTAATTGGGTCATTCTATGATAGAAGCCCAGACTTAGGAGCCTTTGGCTCCCCGGCTTGCTCTCCGTAAGCAGGAGCAGAACTGTTCCTTTTCCTCTTACCTCTCTAGGCCTCTTCTTTCCCCTCTCTGACACCTCACTTCCTTGTCCATTGTCCTGAATTTCTCCCTTCCTTTTTAGCACTTGCCCACCAAAATTCCTGTGCCACTTCTTCCTTGCCCCTGATTTATTTTTCACACCTACTGGCTTCCCCCCTCTTCAATCCCCATTCCAGTGCGGCCTAACAAAACAAATTCCTGAAGTCAGACCTGCTCCGAGTCTGCTATCTGGCTGGTCCATAACTCCAGCATCACGTGGGGCTGATGAGAATCTGGGGAGTGTCCCCTAGATTTTGTACGTACTTCGAAAGTACTTACGGATTGGTGACTGAGAGCTCCATTACTTGCCTAGAAGACTCCCTTTGGCCAAGGAGTTTTTGAAGAAGCCTTAACTTCCCTGCTGCTCCAAGTGTGTGCGTGCGCACGCATGCATGTGTGTCCAAAGTGTGCATGTGTGGACATTCACATGTACACAAATGTGTGCATGTTTTGCCTATGTGGGCATAGGTGTGTGTGTGTATGCATGTGTGTATACCTGCACATATTTCTGTGTTATACATGTGTAGATCTGTGTGTGCATGTATATGTGTGCGTGTGCAGGACTATTTGTGTGTGCATGGTTATGTGTGTTTACGGATGTATGTGCTTGTGTGTGTGCATGTGTGTGTGTGTGTATGTGTGTATGTATGTACCTGGTGGGATAGAGGCTAGTTTGGGAGGATCCTGTGTCTGTTTTCCAGAGACCATCAAACCTTTATTATTCACAGTGACACCAGGAGAGAGCAGCAAAACCTGGGGCCGTAGCTCCGTCATCCCAAAAGAGGAAGGGGAGGAGGAAGAGAAGCGGGCCCCCAAGAAGAAGGGACGGACGTGGGGGCCTGGAACGCTGGGTCAGAAGGAGCTTGCTTCAGGAGATGAAGGGTAAGAGACAGACAATGGGGAATTGCTTTTTTTTTTTTTTAACTTGTGAGTAGGGGCACCATTTTTCTAAAATGCAAACTGCATTTTCCACTCCCCCTTTGTTGTGTTTTGCCACGCTCAGAGACAGGCGTCTTGATCTTTACAACAGTTTTCCAACCTGCTTGTTCCCTGCACCCACCTGGGCTGGGGTGAACAGAAAGGGTCAGGTGATGGGTATTTCTGGCTTTGTGGGCAGGGCAGTCTCTGTTGTAACGCCTTAACTGCAGGGTCAGACCCAGGAGCAGCCACAGACCATGAACGATACAGAGGTGGACGGAGTATGACTAACCTCAGACAAGCAGGTGGTGGCAGGATTTGGCTCACTCCACAGTTTCCCGACCCCCTGGGGGTATCCTCAGAGTAGGGAGGGCCCCCAAGCAGTCCCTAAAAGTAAGGAATTTGCTTGAGTGCTCTGCGAAAGCAATTGGTGAAAACCAATTTCTTCCTCTGAAAAGAACAACCATTGAGAGGAAAAGAAGGAAGAGCAGAGGTTGTGGGGTTTTCTTGACTGGGGGGTCTCCCTGAAGCAGGGGCAGGCAGAATAGCCCAGCCCTGACTTTGGCACCATTTCTAAAAGAACTTCCTTCAGATCTCAGCCCCACACACCCCTCTGGACAAAACTCCAGGCACACCTTTGTACCTGGGATGTGTTTGGGTTCTTACTGGGGACTTGTGGCTTCGGAGCCTCGGGTTCTTTCTGGGCCAGCCTCTCCCCAGAGACTGTGTTGGTCACTTGCAGTGACCTGGGTGTAGGCTGCATGGTGCCTGTGAATGGGTGCTGGCCCACAACCTGGCACTGTCTCCAGACTGGTCCCCTGGAGTCAGTGTGGAGTCAGTGTTTGTGTTTGTGAGGCATCTGGATGCAGAGCTGGCATTTGGGGTAGGCATATGGTGTCGAGTGTGATGGAACACTATTAGTAATCCCATGCAGAAATTATTATTTAATAATTTATTGTCTAATAATTCCATGCAGAATTTTCATGTGAATTCTATTTTACAATAGTTTATACCTTCTTTGCTTGGTCTTAGAATTCAGATCCAAATTTCCTGGCTTTCTAAGGTGTGAGGATAAGCAGCCACGCCCTTCACCCTTTTCAGTGGCTTTCCAAAGAACTTCTGAGATTGGACTTTAACATTGGACATAACAGGTGCCTTGAATTTGTAATTGGCCATAGTACGCATTCAAATACAGCTTTCTATGTCTGAAATCTGTTTTCCATGGACTGTGAAAATGACACTTAGGTTCATAAGGATTACCTCTTTGCAAAAGACTAAGCTATAGAAATCTCTGGATACCTTAGAATAGAACATTTATGTTGTTTCCTTTATTGCAAGGTGTGTGGGGGGAGCTTTGAGGCCACAACCAGCAGTGCTTCAGGGGATCCTCACTCCCAGTGATGTTAGGGAACCACATGGGGCTTTGGATTCAATGGGGGTCAGCTGCATGTAAGGCATATGACCCAACCTCTGTACAATCTGGTCAAAGAATAGAACATTCAAATATATAGGGCAAGTTCCTAAGCTACTTGAAAATCCATTTATTAAATCCTCGGGATTTGGTAAATTTTTTTGGCTCTGTTCCCTAAGAGCAACAAACTCCTCGGTTTGTTCTTTGAACCCTGGACTAGAATAGGGTTGAGCTGGGAGTTGGAAACTTAGTCATTCTGAGCCCCCTAGTGTTTCCCAAGTTAGTATGATTCTGGATTATATATGGTCAGTGGTTCTGTGGGACTGCTTCACTTAAACATATTTTTATTTGTTTGTTTTATCATGCTATTGAATTTCCTTTAGTTCATGTTACAAAATATTGTGTTTGTTTTGTTTTGTTTTTGCTTGGGTGGGAGGGTCAGATGGTGCTATTGGGACTAAATTTGGCATTACTCAGGGCTTTCTCCTGGCATTGTGTACAGGGGTTACTCACAGTGGTGCCTGGGAGACCATATGTAGTGCCAGAGTTTCAGCCCAGGATCGGCCTCATGCGAGGCAAGCACCTTAACCCTTGCACTATCTCTGACTCTCATGTTACCAAATATTAACTTTGGAGTTCTCTTCCTCCCATATATAGATTTCTTTCTCCCATATATAGATTTGCCTTTATAGACTTTTGAAGCAGTTCAAAATAGCTTACTCTTTCATGATTTCAATTCCTGTTGGAGAAATAAAAGTATCTTCTGTTCAGTCTCAGGAAAGACCTCTCTGGTATTCGAACTGTATGCATGTCTAAGATATTTCTAATTTTGGTCCCTCTTGACTAAAGGAAGCATGTTCTGGCATAAACTCAATGCTGTTAAGTGAACTTTCACCTTTTGGAAGAATATGGTGCACCGATGCAGGAACCATGGGCACTGTGTGGAGACTCACAGACCCCTGCAGTCATGCTCTGGCTGCCTGGGGACCCTGCTGCCACTTGTTGGAAGTCCCTGGGCCAGTGACAACTCAAGCAGGGCCGTCTGGCTAGGAATCTGTTATAGTGTAGGCTTTGCTGTCTGCTCGTGGACAAGGGGAGGGCCACTGGCTCTTTAATCAGAGTCCAGCCTTGGCATTCTGAAATGGGTGAGCTGGATGTACCCCGCTGTTGCCTGCTACTGTTTTTCTTTATTCATTGAAGATCCCCTCAGAGACGTGAGAAAGCCAATGGCTTAAGTGTCCCATCAGAATCTCCACATTTCCACTTGGGGTGAGTCCAGTCCTCACCCTTCCGTCAAAAGCGTTGGTAATCCCTGCTTCCGTGTCCGTGTTTTCTCAGTGTACCCCCATGTAACCAAGCCTCATTGTTGCCAGGGCTGTGCTGACTTTATTTTGGGAAGCAACACCATGGTGCACCTTGGGATAGTTCTATGTTGGTCTGACTCTCCCTTGTCTTGCTTTCCTGTTCACTCCCGTGGTCGGGTGCTCCTGGCTCCCACAGGGTTGGGGAGACTGGACTGACTAGCCTTCCCTCTTTAGCCTTGGCCCTGACATTTTCATCTGAATATCCTGAGACCCAGAGCTGGATGAGAGCCTGACTGTTCTATTAGCTTAATGAGGATCCAGAACCCCTGGTTTGGGTTGAGCGGCACTTCTGACTCTACTAGTTGAAATCAGTCATGGCTGAAATATACTTTAGTTCTTAATTATTTTTGTGGGGTTTTTTGGTGTTACTTTTGTTTGGGGGGCCTACACCTGGCTGTACTCAGGGCTTACTACTGGCTCTGCACTCCGGGATCACTCCTGGCAGGCTCTGAGGACCATAGGTGGTGAAATTTGGGTCAGCCGCATGAAAGGCCAATGCCCTACCCACTGTACTATCACTCCAGCCCAATTCAGGAGTATCTCTGATATTACTTGAAACAAGAGATAAAAGGTTAGGGGGGAAATTGGTGTCTCTCTCTCCTCAGAATGGGTTGGGACTCTGAGGAGAGTGAATTTTCTTCGAATAACTCTTTCTGGCCCCAACATGAGGGCAGTCTCTGGTCATGAGCCTGGTAACTAAGAGGCAACCATTGCCCATCAGTTCCTCAGTCTAAGCTCCCGGTGACTGTCCTTCAAACAAAGGACCAGATCTTTTGGGCTTCCGATGCCCCCATCCGAGATGGGGGTCTGTGGAGGACCCAGTCTTTGCCCTCTGAATGCATGGGCTAATGAGATTGAACGGTCAGCTTCTTTTCTGTCCTCTCCGTTCCCAGACAGACCAAGGGCTTGAGTCTAGCCTGTTGTGCTGTCCACATAGGTTTGTCCCAGAGTGCACTCGCATGGTGTAGCTTTGTTGGTTTCTGTGGTTGTTTCATTTGTTTGTTTTTGAGAAGAGGCTGGCTGCAAGTTGCCCGAGCATGCCCTCAGCCTGGAAGGGGAGACTAAGAGATGGTGTGAGTGGAGTGGCCTGGTCCCAGTGCTTGCCTGCACAGCACGTCCTTGCATCTTGTTTCTGACACCCCCCCATGCACTGGGCTGAGTGTCAGTGGCTGGACTCAGGTAGCCCCGTGCCTTCTGCCCTCTTGCTAGCCTGCCCTCACAATCATTTTATGCAGCATGTGAAGGGGGGAGGGAGGGCCATCTCCTGCTTTTTCCCTCCCACACACGCGTTCACTTTTGTTGATGAAGCAGGTGGGCTCTGTGAGGTCTGTTGCCTGTACCCCAAGGCTCGTGGGCTCTGATGTGATTACACAGACAGTGAGAAACATCTGCACTGGCCCACAGAGCTGAGGGTAGACAAGGAGGATGACCTGCCCTAACAGTTTCTTCCTGTCCTCTTACTCAGCCTCAAGTCCCTGGTAGATGGATACAGACAATGGTCCTCCAGCGCCCCCAACCTGGGAAAAGGCCCAAGGAGTAGCCCCGCTCTGCCAGGGTTCACCAGCCTTATGGAGATGGGTAAGCATCGCCCTCATTTTCACTCGCTGCCTTCTCCCCAGGGGAATTCTTTGTCAAGCCTGTTGATGAAGGATGATTTAAGGACCCCTGGAAGTAGTTTATGGGATCGTTGCCTCTTACTTACCCCGCTCCTCCCACCACCCAATTCCCTCTCAGTTTACTTACATTTTTATTGAATCTTCTCAAACCATTCACTCCTGCTGCCATGAATCCATCCTTGGCCTCCGATCCCAGGGGCCAGTATAGTCCCCTGGGTCTTGAATCAGGCACTGCCCTCCCTGGGTCTGTCTCCTAGTATTTATTTGTTTGCTTGTTTGGGGAGGCCACACCCAGCGGTTCCAGAGGTTACTCCTGGCTCTGCACTCAGGAATCACTCCTGGCAGGCTCAGGGGGCCATATGGGATGCCGGGGATGGAATCCTGGTTGGCCAAATGCAAGACAAATGCCCTCCCCACTGTAATATGACTCAGGCCCCTTCTTGTATTTTAAGGTGGGAGTCTACCCCACCAGGCTGTGAGGGCATACAGTCCCATGTTGCCCCCTGACTGCTGGATGGGTCAGACTTTCTCTGGGCTGTCCCCAGAGAGCACTGCTGTCTTTCTCATCTTTAAGTATCCCTGCAGTCAACATAGGCCAGTGTCGAGAGTGGACAGACCTTCACTGGAGTCTGGTTTAGAGGTGGCCCTTTGAAAGATCTGAGGTGCCTTCCAGGTTTTTTTTTTCTTTTCTTTTTGGGTCACACCCAGCAATGCCCAAGGGTTACTCCTAGCTCTGCATTCAGCAGTTATTCCTGGTGGTGCTCAGGGGACCATATGGGATGCTAGGAATCGAAACCTGGGTTGGCCACGTGCAAGGCAAATGCCCTACCCACTGGGCTATAGCTCAAGCCCCAGTGCCTTCCAGTTTTGAGGTGCAAAAGCATGCGGGATCTCTGCCTTACTCGAACATTCCAACTCATGTTCTAAGACCCTGTGACTGCACTTCCTGTGTTGGGGAGAGGAGTGGGGGTGGGAGGGGGTTAGGGGGGTTGTCCCAGTGAGAGAAGTAGCAAATGCGCAAAATCACCCCATCTGCAGCTTGAGGACAGTAGACTCTGAGAATGGAAGTGGCTTCCCCGGGTTGGTCCCCGTTGAGTGCCCAGGAGTCTAGAGGCCTCTTGGTGCCATGCCCTTCAGCCTCTCTGACCTCAGTGTCCCTGGCCCTCACTCTGGGCCATATTCCCATGCTCGGGGCTTCCTGCCCATTTCCCCTCTACCCCTGTCGCCTGCACAGAGGATGAAGACAGTGAGGGCCCGCGGAGCGGGGAGAGCCGTCTCCAGCACTCACCGAACCAGTCCTACCTCTGTATCCCATTCCCTCGTGGAGAGGACGGGGATGGGCCCCCCAGTGACGGCGGAGCCCACGAGGAGCCCACCCCCGTCAACTCAGCTACCAGTACCCCCCAGCTGACACCCACCAACAGCCTCAAGCGGAGTGGCAGCCAGCACCGCCGCTGTGAGGTGGCCCTCCTGGGCTGCGGGGCCGTCCTCGCCGCCACGGGCCTGGGCTTCGACCTCCTGGAGGCGGGCAGGTGCCAGCTGCTGCCCCCGGAGGAGCCCGAGCCGCTGCCCGCCCGGGAGGAGAAGAAGCAGCGGCGCGAGGGTCTCTTCCAGAGGGCCAGCCGGCCCCGCCGGAGCACCAGCCCCCCATCCCGGAAGCTCTTCAAGAAGGACGAGCCGCTGCTGTTGCTCGGGGACCCCTCGGCGTCCCTCACACTGCTCTCGCTCTCCTCCATCTCGGAGTGCAACTCTACCCGCTCCCTGCTCCGCTCCGACAGCGACGAGATTGTGGTATATGAGATGCCCGTGAGCCCGGCCGAGGCCCCGCCCCGGGCCCCTTGCACCCACAACCCCCTGGTCAATGTCCGAGTGGAACGTTTCAAGCGAGACCCCAACCAGTCCTTAACGCCCACCCACGTCACCCTCACGGCCCCAGCGCAGCCCAGTGCTCACCGGCGGACTCCTTCTGATGGGGCCCTCAAGCCCCCTGCCATCACCACCGACTCGGCCAGAAGGAGCCCCTCCAGCAGCGGGCTGAGCGCCAGCCCCGGAGCAGGTGAGCACTCTCGGCCTCTTCCCGCTCTGTCCCGGAGGAAGCAGCAGTTTCCAGAAAGCGTCAGACTAGGGGAACCTCCCAGGGGGTGACCTGGGGGTGTGAGTGCATGGCAGTGTTTTCAGGGGGCAGGAGGGGAAGGAGCCTGGCCTTGCCCCTTTCCTGGAAGAGGAAGCTGGAGTGGCCAGCAGGAATCCATGGGCCCTGGGAGAGTTGTCCTCTGTCAGGTAGCTGCGCCTTCCCTCGCCGCAGTGGTACAGACATGCTCCCCAAGCAGGTGTCCTCTGGACCTCGCCCCTTGACTCCACCCACATGGGAGGGGGGGAATTGGCTCAGTGGCTGTGCTCACACTGGTGCCCACTGATACTCACAGGCCCCTTCCCAGGTGTTCCCCCGACTCTGCCTGGCCCACTGGGAGAGGGGAAGGAGCAGCACCCTTTTGGTGAGGTGGCCGTGCACACCCACTGGGTCTCCTGCCCCTCCTGGGCTTGTTGTTTGTTTGTTTGTTTCCTTGGTTTTGCCACACCTGGCGGTGCTCATGGCTCACTCCTGGCTCTGTGCTCAGGGCTCACCCCCGGAGAGCCTCGAGAATCATATTGCAATGCCAGGGAGGGAACCCAGATTGGCCTCATGCCAGACCAGCACCTTCCCCACTCTTCTACCTCTCTGGCCTTTGCCCCTTCTGTTATTTATTTTTAAATTTTATTTATTTATTTAGCTTTTTGGGTCACACCTGGCGATGCACAGAGGTTACTCTTGGCTCATGTACTCAGAAATTACTCCTGGTGGTGCTCAGGGGATCATATGGGATGCTGGGAATCAAACCCAGGTTGGCCGCGTGCAAGGCAAATGCCCTACCCACTGTGCTATCACTGTAGCTCCCCCCCTTCTGTTTTTTTTTTTACATATTTATTGTTGTTGTTATGCTCAGGTATGTCACCCTATTTGGGGATGAGCCGCCTGGCAACTCACCTTTAGATTGCTAATACCTGGCTTGGTTCCTGTTACATGCTTGGGTTTAATGGATGAGCACAGTGGGAATGGACATATTGGTTCAACCCCTGGTGGTCCCCCTGTTATCAGGTACAGGGGCCGTGACCCCCTAACACACTGTGCCATCCCCAGAGCCTCCCAAAATACTACCAGGCACATATTAGGAACATTGGCTACCACACATGTCAACAGCCACACAACTTAGGAATCTGGCACAGTGAGGCGGGCATAGGGTATCTTCGCCCTAGACACACGGCACCACAATCTAATGCTTCCCCTTCTGCCTCCCTGTCCAGGACCACTGAAAACCCCCAGCCCCAGCCGAGACCCAGGCGAGTTCCCCCGGCTGCCCGACCCCAATGTGGTCTTCCCCCCGACCCCACGCCGCTGGAACACACAGCAGGACTCCACCCTGGAGAGACCCAAGACCCTGGAGTTCTTGCCCCGGCCACGCCCTTCTGCCAACCGGCAACGGCTGGACCCTTGGTGGTTCGTGTCCCCCAGCCACGCCCGCAGCGCCTCCCCGGCCAACAGCTCCAGCACTGAGACGCCCAGCAACTTGGACTCGTGCTTCGCCAGCAGCAGCAGCACGGTGGAGGAGCGCCCGGGGCTGCCGGCCCTGCTCCCCTTCCAGACTGGGCCCCTGCCCCCCGCCGAGCGGACGCTGCTGGACCTGGACGCCGAGGGCCAGAGTCAGGACAGCACCGTGCCGCTGTGCCGGGCCGAATTGAACGCACACAGGCCTGCCCCCTACGAGATCCAGCAAGAGTTCTGGTCGTAGCGCGGGGAGCATGGGGGCGGGCAAGGGAGGGGTGGGGGGAGCCGGAGGCGAGAGGGGTGGGAGGAAGCTATTTCTCAGAGTTGGACCCCCTCCCGTCCCCCAGCTCCAGCCTCGGCTTCTTGCACTGATAATGCACTTTGAAGATGGAAGGGGGAAGGGGCGGACGTGGGCCCTCTTTGGAGTGTCTCCTGCCCGGGGTGGGGGCTAGAGGGTGTGTCCCTGCCCCTGACCACGTGGAGGAGCTGTGGCCAGAGTTGCGTGCATGTCCCTGCCCTCCACAGTCTTCCTCGCCTTCAGGGTGACTCCGTAGCGTCACTCGGCCAAATCTGTCTGCTGCTCCCTCTCCTCAGCCCCGTCCCCCTTCCGTCTGCCCACCCAGAGCTCCTGCTCTGCCCCAGCCTCAGCCTTCCCAGATGCCAGTTGGTGGGAGTGGGGTCAGGGTGGGGGGCGTTCTGTGACGGATGTGACTCCTCTTCCCCCCCAACACACCTATGAATGGGAACTGCATCTGGTGTGAGAAATGAACTTTTCTGGGTCCTGAGTCCGGTTGTACCCACTGGAGGAGGATAGAGGCAAGGTGCCCCCCATGGGGGAGCGTGGGGGGAAGAGGGAGGAGTGGCCTACATGCCCGTCCTGCACCCATAGGTGCCCCCCACTTAGCTATGCGAGCCAGCGGGTGGTAAAGGGACCAGCCTCTGTGTCCGTGCGCATGGTGGGGAGTGCAGGGATTTAGGAGAAATACAGTTCTGTTGCCATCCAGAGAGGAGCAGTCTATCTTCTTCCTTCCATCAACACTCAAAAATGGGGCAGGAGCCCAAACCCGTTGAAACCCCTCTCCCCCTAGCTCCTTCCTGGGGGTCCAGACCTTGTGAAAACTCATTCTGGGAGAAACACCTTCTCCTCCGAGGAACAGTCGCTTGGATCCCTCCCTTACAGGTGCGAGTCTTGCAGTCCGAGACACTCATCCCAGTGCTGGGGCCACTTGTGGTCTGATCTCTGTGTTGTGTTCCCACCCCTCGGCCACTCCTTGCGTCCCTGCAAAGGAGCAGGTTTGATGGGATGCATTTGGAGCAGAGGGCGAGCTCTTGGGGCTGAACCTGAGTAGCCGCTAGGGGTGAGGCCTGGGCTCCAGGTACTGAATAACGGTGAGGATTCCCTCTCAGCCAGACCCTCCCATTCTGCAAAGCCCTTGAAGAAGGACGGAGCCGTTACTCACACCTTACCCAAGGGCATGTGGTGAGGGGCTGGTGCCTGGGAAATGCTCAGTGAGCCACCAACATGGCGCGATGCCTTTCGAGTCCCAAGCATGAGAGACTGACTAAAGCCCTTGGTCCTCTGCACAAGTAGCCCCCAGTGTTGGGCAGGAAAGATGCCCCCCCACCCCCAATCTTTGGGAAGTGTTTCCTTAACTGAATTGTCCAGCTGTGTCAGGAGCTTCCTCCTGTGTCCAGAGGGCACCCTGGTCTTTGGGGACAGCACCTCGATGGGGAGTTGAGTCCCTGGGCCAAGTCGTTCCTCCCCCGCCCCCATCCCACCCCACCCCCCTTTGTGCTCTCTGCTCCTGCTGCTGCTGCTCTGCTCTCTTTTGTTGTGTCCTATTTCTCCAGCTAAGTGGGAGATCGGCCTGCAGCTCCCCAGGAGTGCAACCCTGCAGCCCAGATGGAAGAGGGGGTAAGGGAATGCATGCATCACTGCTCTCCCTGTGCACTCACGCCTCCCCACAAGATGACAGGAAGAGTGACCCCGGTTTCCAAGTGCTCCTTGCCTAACGAGCCCCCAAGCACTGTGGTCCCAAGTGCCCACCAAGAAGGAGGTAGCCCTGGTCCCCAGGGCCAACCGTTTCTGTGATCGCACCTCATCTCTCTCCTTCTCTTTGTTCAGACAAAACAGGATGTAAGAGTTTTTGTTCCCCTGCCCCCCGCTCTGTGGCTGGAAAGAAAAACGTGGATCCTATCAGCAGTTCCAAGCAATCCAGAACTGGACAGGGCCACCAACATTCCTGTCCCCAGGCCCGCTATGGTCTTAGTCCCCAGCAGGCACATCTCAGCAGTCCTCGGGTGGATGGGAGCGCACCTCACAGCCTCATCCGAGCCATGCAAGCCTTGGGGTATGAGACCGAGATATTTGCCCCCTGCATTCAATCTCTACTTCTCGTCATTTAGTCCATGAGGAACTGTCTTTTGTGGAAGAGTTCTTGTCACAGGTGTAGTGTAAACAGAATGGTGGTCACTGGCCATCAAGGATGAACCCACTTCTCTTACTCATTCTTGCAGAGGAGGACAAAGGTGATAGGGTGTCTGCTGAAGGCAGTCTTGTGCCCACCAGCAACAGGAGCAAAAGCAGGGGTGCCTGCCAGGCAGGAGCTTCTATGAGTGAGTGTCCGTGAAGGTGGAGGGGTTGCCATCTCTGTCTCTGATCAGGCCAAAGCTGGGTTGGGGGTGTGGATCTGTATCAGAGGACACTTGAATTGCTTTCTGTGACTCATAAGTCTGTGGTCATGTTCACGGGCCCCCTGGGCAGTGGGGATCAAGCCCCCTCAGTGGCAGTGTCCAGCCACCCCTTTCCTCTTGCCTTCTCTTTCCTCTTACTGGTGCTCACCCTGTGGGAGATGGTGACAGGAAATACTCTGCACCCATAACTCCTCCATCTCTTTCTCGCATCTTTTGGCTCCTTCCATTCATTCTAAACACAGGTGTCCTCCATTCACCGCTTTGGGCTGTTGGCCACTCTGCTAGGGCCTGCGTAGACGTCCCACTTCCCTTCATGAGCTGTTTCTAAGAGGCTTGAGCTAATGCACTGTTCGTTTGGTCTTTGCTTTGTTTTTTTCTTTGGGGTTTGGACCACTGGCCATTCAAGATGAACCCAATGCTTGTTCCTTCATGCAGAGGAAGACGAGGGTGATGGAATGTCCCGGGAGTGCTTAAGGGGGCTAATCCCGCTGTGCTGCTCATGGACCCAGGCAGAGCTGGAGGTGGAACGTGGAGCTCCCCCCACCCACCCACGAGTGTGCTCCAGCCTTGGTTCTCTCACCCTGTCGCCTTTAGTGGATGTTCTAACGCTTCTCACCCTGGAGTAGCCAGTGATGATGGTAGTGACGGATGATCTCGTCTGACACTTGGACAACTCAGAGAGTGCTGGCCTTGCCTCCTTTACTCCTTTACAAAACTGCATCTCCTTCCCCCCTGCACCCACCCCATCTGATATACTTGGCGGGTAGTGAAAAAGAAATGCTTGAAGATTCAAGTGCAGAGAAATTTCAGAGCCTTCGGAACGGATTGCTGAGTCAAGTGCACCCAGCTCTCAGTCCTGGGCACGCTGGCTCTGTTCCCGTTCTGCTTTTGTCGGCTGACCTCAGGCTGCTCTCTGAGCCCCTCTCAGGTTTCCTTCCTGTAAAATTGAGCATCGGCTGGTCTGCTGCCTTCACAAGGGCATCAGGAAGGGGGATCAGAGCCGGGTCAGCACAGCAAGTGCGCCACCAGGGCCACTCAGTTCCCACTCGGTTCCGGCACCTCTCGGGGGACTCTCCTCCTCTTTCTTCCACTGGTTTCTGGAAGAAGGGTGACCTGGAGTGGATTTTGCCTGACTGACGGGAAGGCGTGATCAGGCCCAGGCTCCCCCACCACCTACTCTTGCCCCTGGAGAACGCAGGCGACCTCCTCCAGCCCTGCTCGTGGCTTCCCATCTCTCAAGCTCTGCAGCGGGGGCAGGAGGCGGCGTCCGAAGGACGGTCTGAGGGTTTTGAGCTCTTGGGGTCCTCACTCGGAGTCTGGACTGTTGCAAGGCTGCAAGCAGGCCTGTTCCTGGCAGGCTGTCTGGGAAAGCATGTGCTGGCCTTTGGAACAGCGTGTCTGTGCTGGACAGAGCATCCCAGGAGGGAGTCCCTGGCACCACAGGGCCTCAGGTACCCAAGGCCCAACCACCTGCACTCCTGCTCCGCAGCTTCCACCTGGAGTCTCCTCCCTCTTCTCTCCTGATCACCCTGACACCCCCTCCAGCCTGACTGTACCAAAGCAGAAGGGTAGGAGGACAGCAGTGCCTGGGAAAAAGGTCCCTGCAGGGGCCTGCTGTGGGTGCCACGCCAGGGCCTTTCTCTGCCATGTCTGATGAACCCTGGGTCTGCAGCCCAGGCTGAGGGCCCCACTGGTGGGAGAGCGGCACCCCTGCTGTCTCCTGAAAGATGGTGGGGGGCAGCAGTCGCTACTCTGCCGGAAGGCTAGGCTTCCACCAAGGGCCGTGCCAGAGTTGGACACCAGGGTCTGTGGCGGGGTCAGCCTGCAGGCATGTGAGCGCAAGTGCACAGGTGCTGGGAGCAGCGGGGGGCTGTGAGCTGAGCGGCCCACCGACAGAAGCGTCCCTTCCCTGGACCTCAGCCCAGCCTCGGGGGAGGTTGCTGCTGTACAGCAGGTAGGGCGTTTGCCTTACACCCAGTTGACCCGGGTTCAATTCCCAGCATCCCCTGAGCACAGCCTCGAGTACTTCCTGAGTGCATGAGCCAGGAGTAACTCCTGTGCATCACCGGGTGTGACCCAAAAAGCAAAACAAACAAAAAAAAAACAGGATCCTGTCGGTCGAATGTGGGGGCCCAGGTGGCAGCACACACGCCTTGCCTCTGAAGGCCCGGGGTTCAGTCCCTAGCACCACACTCTCCCCTCTACCCCACCCAAAATAGTGGATGGTGCTGGCGTCCCAAGCAAGCTTCTCATAACTCGCCTTGCTTTGTTGCTTCTCCTTGTGGAGAAAGCGTGTGTATGAGAGAGATGGAGACAGAGAAGAAAAAAGAAAAGCAGGAAGCAGCAAGACAGCCGCCATTTCCCTGGGTTCAGCCACCCCTCTCTCTGCCTTCAGGCCTGGGGATGATCTCTGGTCAAGTCCTGGTCCTTGTTGGGAAAGGATTCCAAGATATGTGCCTCGATCCAGCGTTTCCCTCGCTAGGGCGCTCATACATCTCGATGAGAAGGGAAAACCTGCTGATACTTAGGGGCAGCCTCAGCCACCCCCCACCCCAACTCC